GTGGTTTGAGTCCCAGACTCTGCAGCTCAAAACTCACACTAGGCACATATGTGTGTGTGCCCAAACTCCCAAGAGAATGGAGAAGGGACTGTGGCCTGACTGTCCCCTCTGGCTGGGGTTAGGGGGTGATTTCTCACTTTCACTCTGTCTCTCTCTGTGTCTCCAGCAAGTGCACGTGCCCAATTGCAAAAATCTCTCTAAAAACAAAAAAGAAAAAAAAAAGTGAGAAAATATACAGAACAATTAAATTATAGCATGATAGCTAACAAAAAGAAGATGCTCCGGGACCAGCAGTTTGCGTAATGGCTATGTTGCTGGACTCCCATGTAGTCTACTGTGGTTCGAGTCCCGGACCCGGTGGCTTAAACTCATGCCGGGTGTGCATGCATGCGTGCCCAAGATCCCAAGAGGAGAATGGAGAAGAGATTGCGGTGGGGCCATCGCCCCAGGAGGTGATTTCTCACTCTCTGTCTCTGTCTCTCTCTGTCTTTCTGGTGAACGCATGTGCCCTATAGCAAAAACCTCTCCAAAAAAAAGGAAGCTACTCCAAGTTGGCAGTTCTTTCTATTATTCATTCAGGCCTCTATCAGTTGTCACCAGATCAGAAAGTCTTCTTCATCAATCAATTAACTCTACATAATCAAATTCAACTTCAGCAAATAATTTGGGAGACAAGATGAGCAAAACAGACAAAGGTCTCAATTAATGAACTGGTAGCATACATGACAACTATTAATAGTAGATATTCGTAGGGGCCAGCGGGTAGCATAGTGGTTAAGGAGCTGAACTCCCACGTGTTTGACTACAGTTCGAGTCCCAGATCTGGTTGTTTGAAAATCACATCAGGCACATGTGCATACTTGCCTCAAATCCCACGAGAATGGGGGAGAAGGGACTGCAGCATGGCCATCCCTGCAATAGAGAGATTTCTCACTTTCCCTCTCACTGTCTGTCTCTCTCCAGCAAGTGCCCATGCCCTATGGCATGCACCCTCTGACAAAAGCGACAACAAAAAAAGTAGATGCGGTATTTTGAAATCAGAACACGAGCAGCTCAATGATAAACAATTGGGAAATGAATTGAATAAACAAGCTCCTTTTCCTCAGTGTTAAATTAAATGATTATTTTGCTTAAAGATTACCCACGTTATTTTCTCGGGAAACAGCCTGGAAGTAGAAGACATTTGATTTAAGAAATATTCTTCTTTCCTGGAATTCACTAATCATTTATCAGCGAGAAAAAAGTGGCCCAAACATGGAAAGGAAACTAGTTAAATTTTAATACATTTCAGTGATTCTAGACAATGTGGGCACAACTCAGGCCACTACGAACTGTGGGCCATTTTCCTGAGTACATCTTGTCCAATATGGCTCTGGTTTAGGACCGAAGACTTGGCGAAAGCAAATCGTTTTCTCTAAAATCGTGATAACACGCATTCGATTCCAATACAAGTCGGTCAAAAACCAGGGATACAAGCACTCCACTTCTACAAGGAGCTAAGACGCATTTCTATTTTCATCGATGTGCTTATCAGTCTTGCCAGTATTGTACATTGATAGGCTGAGGAAACTTTATGAAGTTAAGAAGCTCAAAACTCAATCTGTGACCGTATGACTTATTCCTTCAATCCAACAAATGAGTATTTTATGGTTCTCAGCATAAAGAGCCACAATAGCAACACGCCATGTCTGAACACAGTCGTGTGACAGGAAGCACATGGCCAGGCAGGCCACGCAACTATCCCTGTTATCATTGGTTCTTTTATTGATGGGCTTAATCTAGGAAGAATTTCTACTTAAGGTAGAGAACCAGGTGCTCTCTCTTCTGGAGGACATTGCAGAACCGGACTGTGGCCAGTTGCGAGAGAGCATTCACTAGAGAAATCTCTGAGTAGCTGAAACAACAAAGACTGTTCAGGAACCTACCTACTAGTACCTCCTATAAGTCTATTTAACGAACTTCCTAGTTGTAGCAAATTTTATACTAAAAATAATTTAGGTAATTCATAAACCTCATGAACATTTTTTTAAAGAATTATTTATGGGACCAGTAGATGGCCTAATGGCTACATCGCTGGACTCCCATGTAGCTGACTGTAGTTCGAGTCCCAGACCCGATGGCTTAAACTCACGTCAGGAGCGTGTGCATGCATGCCCAAGATCCCAAGAGGAGAATAGAGGAGAAGGGATTGCGGTGTGGCCATCCCCCCTGAGGGGTGATTTCTCACTTTCTGTCTCTCTATCTCTCTCTGTCTTTCTGGCAAATGCATGTGCTCTATAGCAAAATCCTCTCCAAAAAAATTATTATTTATTGAACTTTATTTATTTACTTATTTATTTATTTTAATTTTGACCAGAGAAGGACAGAAAGAGAGAGGGAAAGTGAGAAAGCAAGACACCAGGTCTGGGACTTGAACTGCTGTTGGCATGTGGGAGTCCAGCCACCACACGGCCTACCAGGCCCAAACATTTACTTAACATTCTCTGTGAATCAGGCAACTTGTTTGACACACTGTCTCACTGAATCTTGGTAACAGTCTTGTCAAATAGTCTGTGTAAGTACTAATTTTATTTTACTGACATGGTTAAAGAAACCCGGAGAGGTTAAGTAACGCGTACTGAATGGCATGGCCGGTAAGTTGCAGAAGTGGGATTCAAACCCAGATAGCTAGACTCCAGAGCCCTTAACTGTGGACGTGTATGTTCTCTAGCTGACCTCTTCTCTCCTTACAGGCAGATGCAGTGCCTTGGCTATCTTTTATATCCAAATCAGAAACTAATCAGAGGCTTGATGGTGGTGCAGCGGTAGCTTGGGGCTCTGCAGCGGGCTGAGACCTCTACTGGGGGAGGGTCCCAGTGCACATCCGAGGTCTCCCAGAGTACAGGGGCACACACAGGTCCATGACCTGGGCTGACTGAGGCTGGGGGTGGGCCTTCACATCAAGACTCTGTCAGGGCTGCTGTCTCTCTGGTTCTCTGTCTCTCTTACTAGTGCAATAAAGGAATAAAATTTAATTAAAACAAATTTTTGGAGAGGTTTTTGCGATAGGACACATGTGCTCACCAGAAAGGCAGAGAGAGACAGAGAGACAGAAAACAAGAAATCACCCCCCCCACCCCCAGGTAGGATGGCCCTGCCACAATCCCTTCTCCTCCATTCTCCTCTCAGGATCTTGGGCATGCACGCACACACACCCGGCATGAGTTTAATCCACCGGGTCCAGGACTCGAACTGCGGCCGACCACATGGGAGTCCAACCACATAGCCATTATGCCATCTACTGGTTCCGTTAATTAAAAATTTTTAAACAAGCAAGAAATAGCTACTAGCACAACAAGGAAGTCATTGTGAATGAGTATATGCTTTAATTATATGTATTTAGTAGCCAAAATGTGCACACGTACATAATTCTAAAGATACAGCATGTATAGAGAAGACGAAGCCTTTGTTCCAACTTTGTCCTTCATCCTTCTCCATGGAGGCAACCAACTCAACTCACGCCATGGAGGGCTTACCGAGTGGTGAATGGTGTTGCGCTGGTGCCGAGGCCATGAAAATGAGGCTGCATGTGCGGAGGGGACCCTGCACGGCTGCACGTATGCAGCAGAGCCGCTGTCAATGCCAGCGCGAGGTAGAGCTGAGAGAAGGAAGCGCTGTCACTGAGACGTGGACTCCAGCTGACTTGATTAACAACTGATTAGTGAGGAGGTAAAGTACGAAAGAGCGCGACCTCCAATCAGCTGGCGACGTGGAGACGTGATGGCAGTAACTGAGAAGCCAGAAAGTGGAGCGACCAAGAAGAGGAAAAAAGACAGCAAACAGATTTTAATGTAGACACCGGTGGACACAGGGTGGATGCACTCCCGAGAGAGAGAGAGAGAGAGAGAGAATCTCTTATGGGGGACGGCCCCGCCCAATCCCGTCTCCTCCTTTTCTCCCTCCTTGAGGCATTCACAAACCTCAACTCTTGGTCTGGGACTAGAACCTGGCAGTTCCGTGTGGGAACCAGCTGCCGTAACCACCATGACATGCTGGCCTGGTTTTGATGCATACACTTGGTCATGATAATGATTATTTGTTGATCATGAACATTAATCTTTGATTTCACGTCCAAACACCAATGTGCCTCTGTAAAGGCTCAGAGTTAAGGTGTTGGTGTTTCTTTCAAACTAGATGTATGTCTCCCACTTGGAGGTTTCACCCAAAGCCACAGGACCCTTGGGAAGAAATGAAGGCTCACGAAGAACAGGGGCCCTGGTGAGAGTGGGGTGCAGATGGGAATGGCAGCCAGAGCATGAGGGCAGAGCCCCGCATCCCAGCTCACCCCTCTCTTCCAGCTGCAGTTTCCAGTCAGGCTGGCCCGAGGTGGGTCTTCCCAGCCCCCACCTCCTGCACCCGGGCTTTCCTCTGAGGTAGCTGTGATAGCTGGGGCCACAGGAGACAGAAAAGGGGTCCTGGATCTGCCCTGCTCCATGGCAGGTTCCTCCAAGCAAAGGGGATAGAGGGTCTTGAAGTCCAGGAGAACCAAGCATGCTGCCCATGGGGAGTGCGTGGGCAGGAATCTACTCTGGACTCATTCGTTCCTGGGAACCCTGGGCTGGGACACCGGGAAAGGTCCCCAAGGGCCACAGGTTAGACAATGAGGTTACGCCCTCCCTGAGCAGAGAAGGGCCGGGCAGCCGTCTAGGTTTGGGCAGAGGCCCAGCCAGGTCGGTCCCGGCGAGGTCAGAGGTGTTTGCGCTGCGGTGTGTCCTGGAAGAGGTTGCAGGGCGCTGCCCCCAGCCCTCCCTACTCCCGGCCACCGCTGATGCTCCACAGAGGTGATTGTAGGTCAGAGGAGAAGGGTGAACAGGGCCAAGAAGGAGGGGCCTAACCTGTGTGCAAAATCGGGGAATCTGACCCAGCGTGGGTGAGGGACCAGGCTGAGGCCCAGGGACTGACGGGAAAGACGTCCCCACCCTTCTGGGAAGGAGGTCCCGTGCTCGGCTCAGCCACTGGCAGTTCTGGCTGTCCCTGGAGCTTACATAAAGGGACAGTTGCAGCCCCAGAGGCCACAGCGCTGACAGTGCAGGGCTCGGAGCTCCGGGCAACCCAGACAACATGAGCTGGTCTTTGAGCCCTCGGAGCTTAATCCTCGGCCTCTGTGCTCTCGTGTCAACATGCCAGGCAGTAAGTGCTGTTCACAGACATGCTGTTTTACGTGGGAAGCTGACATGCAAGAGGATAAACTAGTGATATTTCTATATTTTTCTCCTCTAGTACATTGCTACCAGAGAAAACTGCTGCATCTTAGACGAAAGATTTGTAAGTAGTCTCTGTGTGTCTGGCTTCTTGTTTGAACTGCAGAAAGACATGGGCGTAGAAGCAATTCTCTCCAATACCATCTAAACTTTTCAAAAAAGAATCATTGGTTTAATTTTACGTATTATTAGTATATTTTTCATTTGACCAGAGAGAGGCAGAAAGGGACAGTGAAAAAGCAAGCCACTGAGTCCGAGACTCGGACTGCGGCCGGTCATGTTGGAAGTTGAGCACCTTACCCCCACTTTAAACATTCATAAAGCATCATCTAGCTTTGGCCTAGTTTTTATTTTTTTTTTTCTTGATCGCGGTTAAGCATCCCTTTCTGCGGAGATTCTCATTCCTTGTCCTGTTTTCAGGGTAGCTATTGCCCAACCACCTGCGGCATCTCAGACTTCCTGAATGATTACCAAGACAAAGTGAACAAGGAGCTAACAGCCTTGGAAGACATCCTGACCGAAGCTGAAAACAAGACAACAGAAGCCAAGGAGCTGGTCAAAGCAATCCAAGTCGTCTATAATCCCGACGGGCCGTCCAAGCCAAGTGAGACACTCGGCCCCGCAGACCGAGCCCGGCTCGCCGGTGACACCCTTTTGCTGTGGTCGTGGTCATTCCGTTCGCTTACGTCTTTCTCTGTCTCCGATCTCGTATTGCAGATATGATAGAAAGCGCCACTCAGAGTTCCAAAAAAATGGTAGAAGATATCATGAAATACGAAGCAATGATTTTGACACACGAGTCAAGTATCCGGTAAGCAGTTGTGTTTTAACTCGCTCGCCACGATGGATTAAGTCTTTGTTCACTATTTCACACTTTAGTGGAAGTTGTCTTTTACGTTTTCCCCCATTTACCCTATCTAACTGGCATCGTGCTTATCTTGAAAATTAGTGGCTTTTTGGTGCAATGCGAATGGTGCTGGATAATTACTGCTTTTCTAAAAAAAAATATATTTATTATCATTATTCTTCAATTTTGACCAGAGAGAGACAGGCAGAGAGAGAGGGAGAGTGAGAAAGCAAGCCGCCAGGTCCGGGACTTGAACCATGGTGGGCCATGTGGGAGTCCAGCACCTCAACCACCGCACC